ACTGGGAGTGGTGGTGCGTGCCTGTAATCCCAGCACTTGGGAGACTGAAAACAGGAGGATCACTACAAGTCTGATCTGTGTAATGAGACCCTACACACCCTGTACTACATACATTAAAAAATAAAAAATAAATAAATAAAATTGTTTTTGTTTATGGATCTGATAAAATCTAGATCTCTAATATTTTTTAAGCCCAAGCACCTTGGACACTGCAGCTCCTTTCAGTTTTTGCTTACATACAATTCATTCTTTGCAGCCCATTAAGCTGGAGAAGCCTGGGAATAAAGTTTGAAACACATTAATTAAAAAAAAGGTACAATGATGAAAGGTTTTGCTATGAGCTCTGCCACCTACTTTGATTTTTAAATGATTTCTTTTCTTTTTTTACTTTAAAGAGAATAAAAAAATAAAAATGATACCAAATTTCAACACAAGATGGTAGAAAAATAACAATGTTTGCTAAAGTGCACATTGTTATCTTCAAAGTAATTGTTCAGATTACCAAATTTAGGCATGTGAATTTGATCAAACAAATATTAACTGTTCATTTTAATAAACCAATAGAAATTTATAGTACAATTATCTTAGCAATTTCCCCTTCCTTATTTTTCTTCTTGTTTCCTCCATCCCAGTTGTTCCTTCCTTTTATGGTCTCTAGTTGAATTCACTTACCTATTAAAGTCTGTTTGTTTTTTCTTTACACCTGCATACTACTCCATGGTCTAAATATACCACATCTTTTTTATCCACTCCTCAGTTGATAAGTATTTGGCTTTTTTTTCAAGATTTAGCTATGATAAATTATGCTGCTATAGACATTTTTGCACATGAATCACTATGGTATGATGTTCTCAGTATTTCTGGAAAAATATCCAGAAGTGGAATAGCAGGGATAAATGGTACTTCTAATCCTAGTTTTTTGAGGAGTCTCCATACTGCTTTCCCTGGTGGTTGCACCAGTCTACACTCCCACCAACAGAGAAGAAGGGTTACTTTTTCTCCATTGCTTCACCAGGATTTGTTATCAGCTGACTTCTTGATGATAGCCATTCTTCCTAGGGTAAGCTGGAATCTCAGTGTTGTTTTAATTTGCATTTTTTGAATGACTAACGATGTTGAACATTTTTCCACATATTTATTTACTCTTTGTATTTCTTCATCTGAAAAGTGTATACTCACCTCAGATGCCTATTTTTTTATTGGTCTTTGAATTTGAGGGAGCCTGATTGTTTTAATTATATATTCTAGATAGAAATCATTTCTATAGGGTTTAAAAATATATATTTTTAAAACTACCTAGTTGCATATCTGGGAATATGTATTTGTGGGAACTGAGAAACAACAATATTAAAGTTCTGGGGTGCTTCCAAATTCATCATATTCCAGGCTTCTTTCCAAAGATGCTACTTTCTTTCTTTCTTAGATCAAGGCAACTCCTCTCAAATGCCTCTCACTCATCTGATTTTCTTTGAGAGAATTCCTAACCTGTTCTAAATGTGGAAAACATGAAAGAAAGAAGAAAAAAAGAAAGAAAGAAAGAAAGAAAGAAAGAAAGAAAGAAAGAAAGAAAGAAAGAAAGAAAGAAAATAAATATGGTTGTACCTAGGAATAGTAGCACACGCTTTTAATCAGAGCACTCAGGAGGCTACATAGTGAGTTCAACACTAACCTGAATTATATAGTGAGACCCTGTCTCAAATAAAAAAAATTCAAGAAAGAAAAACAAAAGAAAGGAAAAAATAAATAAATAAGAGAAAAAAGAAAAGGAAGAAAGTGAGCCTTACCATGAATATCTCCCTGGAGGTTTATCCCCTTAGAAAGTTCTGCTGAAGTACTAACCCTTTGGTTTTAAGTCCAACTTTCCATTCTGCAGTCAAAGAGAAAAAGAAATGTAAGGGCTTGGAGATAGGTAGCAGTAAAAGGAGGAGGTAAAAATGAAGGGGAACATTTTTCTTTTCAAATTAAACATGGCTTTTAAAAAAGAACCACTGGGCTGATGAGATGGCTCAGTGGTCTAAAGCACCTACTCAGAACAAGCTTAACAAAACACAGGGACTGCAGTTCAATCCCCCAGCACCACATGCCAGCCAGCCCCACCCCCTAGTGGGCTGAGCTGGCCACACACACACACACACACACACACACACACACACAAATAAAATAAAATAAAATAAATACATACATACATACATACATACATACATACATACATACATACATACAAAATAAGATAAAATAAAAAATAAAAAAGAACCAAAGATGTGGTATTTTTACACAATGGAGTATTATTCAGCTATTAAGAATGCAAACTCAAAGCCTTTATATTGAAGTGGATGCCACATGAACATATACTCATAAGTGAAATAAACCAGACACACATGTGTAAATATCGTATAGTCTCCCTAGTATAAGAACTCAAAAGAAGAAATGCAAATATAAAGATATAATACAAGTAAAAGGAAAGCAGGATCTCAAGGACTAACTAATCAAGAGAGGGAAAGGAGAAGAGCTAGGAAACATGACAATGTCAAGCCATACAGTTATATGTAAAAGATGAGCAAGGCAATGATCCTGAGAATCTTCAGAAGATTTTTTAATCTAGCAGTTAATTGGAAAAATTCTCACCCAGACTAACTATACATACTGATTCCTGTGAACTAAACTACTGCACTGCAGATGGTAATTTGTAATAGTAGTTTCATGCTTGGAGTGCCTGTCATTCTGGTCTTCCGAATAAGGGCTGCTTGTCATGACATGCCAGTTGCTGATATGATGTCTCTCGGGTAGGTGGATATTCAAGAAGAAGGGGGTGGTGAATGAAAGCAAGAGACAGAAAAAGGAATATTGTGAGACGGTCCTGCTTCAAGGTTGTATATGGTGAGATTTTTGGACTTATGTGCAAACATGAGAAGTATATAATTCTTTATCCTATTTTTAAAATATAATCTAATTTTTAAATGTTTTTTATCATACTATGTAGGGACTTAAAGTTCAACATATCAATACCTGATGAAAAATACCTGTTCCTTATTATGCCTAAGATGTTTGATATGCAGACAGATAGTGAGGTTAAGCTTAATAGCCTAAGTTGTTTGATAATAACAATAAGCTTGTCTTCTGGATGGTTAGCAACCTAAATTTGCAGACCAAAATTAGAGAAAAAGGAGGGCTGCAAGGAAAGCCAAAATTTTGGCCATAACCTTCTAAGGTCACTTAAGACTCAGGACATATGAGAACTTGTACTGTAACATCATGTAACTCGGTAGTGTCCCAAATTTTCTGATCAAGGAGATTATGGGGCCGAAGAGGGAAGTGATCGATGATGTAGAGTGTGCCTAAGGAGAGTCACATGGAGAGAAAACACTCTCTCAGGCT